ATAGACAGATAGATAGATAGAGAGATAGAGAGATAGATAGATAGATAGACAGACAGACAGACAGACAGACAGACAGACAGACAGACAGACAGACAGACAGACAGACAAACAGACAGACAGACAGACAGACAGACAGACAGACAGACAGACAGACAGATAGATAGATAGATAGATAGATAGATAGATAGATAGATAGATAGATAGATAGATAGATAGATAGATAGATAGATAGATAGATAGACAGAGAGACAGACAGACAGACAGACAGACAGACAGACAGACAGACAGACAGACAGATAGATAGATAGATAGATAGATAGATAGATAGATAGATAGATAGATAGATAGATAGACAGACAGACAGACAGACAGATAGATAGACAGACAGATAGACAGACAGACAGACAGACAGACAGATAGATAGATAGACAGATAGATAGACAGACAGACAGACAGACAGACAGACAGACAGACAGACAGGCAGACAGACAGATAGATAGATAGATAGACAGAGACGGACAGAGACAGACAGACAGACAGACAGACAGACAGATAGACAGATAGACAGATAGATAGATAGATAGATAGATAGATAGATAGATAGATAGATAGATAGATAGATAGATGGATATATGGATATATGGATAGACAGATGGTCAGACGGAGGGACGGAAAAACGAATAGACAGACAGAAATGTAGATAGATAAATAGATAGACAGACCAAGGATATTAGAGATAGATCAAAGAGATTAAAGATAGACAGATAATATAATATAATATAATATAATATAATATAATATAATATAATATAATATGAACAAGATAGTTGTCAACAAGCTACTAACTATGATTTGAACATGATGTGTATCAAATCAAATGTCCTGAGCTCAATGTCAGCAGGCTGTGTGTGGTTTGATGCTCCAGTGATCAAGGCCCATTTCAGTGGCGTTTTCAGCTCTGGCTGCAGATAGCAAGGTCAGCAGATGTATTATAAAGCAGGTGCGCCCACACACACTTGCACACAAACACACACGCACACACAGAACTCCAAACACTGCCACATTGATTTTTTTTCCAGAGGGTAATAACATCATCCCGGTATTGTGAGGAGTAATTTAAACTTAATATGGGTAATTACTCTCCAATAGCTGATAGTTCATTTAAAGCTTGACATAATGCTGTTTGCGTGCAGGAGAATGAAGGATAAAGAATGGCAGGGAAATGGATTAAGCGCTGATGGGCCACACAGTTAGTCAGGCAGCTGTCTTCATTACAGACTATGGGACTAAACCCTAAGCACCCCCTAAGGACGGAGCTTCAGAGGAAATCTATAGCCAAATGCATCATCAGAGAGACAAACAAACGCTTATCGCCAACACTACTGCTACATGTGCTGCGACCTGCTCCGAAAAGGAGATTCTGCTTGTTGTTTAAACAGACGAAGTAAAGGAAACGCACCTGGATCCCTCCTCCCTAAAGAGCCATTCAAAACGGCAGATGTGTTTGGTGTAAATAGAAGGATTTTTTTTTAGGATGTGTGGGTGCTTCCAACAACATCAACAAAAAAAGTGGAATCATACATACAAGATGCTATGCAAATCATACTAATAGAAGTTAAAAATGTAAACATTTTGATAAAAAACTTTTCAAATGTGTTTTAAAAAAAAAAAAGTTATGGCCAAATTTAGAATTCATTCACCCCAGAGTGGACGAAAATATGCCCAACAGCACATAAGGGTTAACGTAAGTTGCAAACAATGTATATAGGCTGAATGTAAATTAAATGTAGACATTAAATTGGAAATTAAATGTTGTAATGTTCAACTAAATTTCTTTGTTTAAATTCAGCCCCAGCTGATCTCACGGGAAAACAGAAGTATTTTACGTTTTGCCAGTTAATTCAGTCGTACGAAATTGTACGATTTTAAAAAGGAGGCTCGGCACCTAACCCCACCCCTAAACGCAACCGTCACTGGGGGATGAGGAAATCGTACTAAATTGTACAAATTAGATCGTACGAATTCTTACGAATTATCCACTAAATCAAAAAGTTACAAATTGCCGTGAGATTGTGTTGATCAGCCCATAGAAATTGTTTGCAACCACTTACCTTAAAAATTTAGTAAATCCAATGATTCATTTTTTAGTGCATGTAACATACTTGGTTTTCAAGATTGTTCTCTGTTAATTTGCAAGAAATGCTCGTTACACAAATAGAACTTCCCCATACCCTTCAGGTAAGATGGACCTTTTTAGGTTCTCAGTCACAAAAAACCTCCCAGAAAGATTTTATGAAGGTTCCTTTTTGTTTACCAGAAAAGTATACCCAAAGAACGCTCTCAAAATGTTCCAATTTGGTTCCCTAAAAATAAGAAAACAGGTACCAAATGGTACCTTCTTGGAAATGTTCTGTTGCCTGGGTTCAAAGGAAATCCCACAGCCACTCTTTTTTCTCTCACAGCGTATCATCGTTCTCTACCACTAATCAAACAAGGTCACACATCTCCAGTTTGGAGGGCAGCTCGGCTCTGTCTTCCGCAGGGAATCGTGTGCCCTGTTCTCCAGAGAAAGAGGACACGGAGACAATGTCACAGCAGAAAACAGCCACAATCATCGCTCCTCCAGGGCTTTACAGTAACGGCCAAAGTCACACAAGGTGAGTCGTCAAAGGCAGACGCACGAGGTGAAGCCCTCAACCATCTGGACAACAAGATGCAGCTCCACACACTGCCATGTTCTACATATGTTTATTTAAATCACAGGAAGTGGCTTTCACTTTTGTAAACTTCGAAGTCTGAATATGCATGCACTGAGGCCACTGCTTCATATTACTGTACCGGATTTCTGCATCATGTTTACAGACAACTTAAGTTCATAGGAAATTACAGCAAAGAAACAGTCTGATTGACGTCTGAACTTTTTTGAGCTTCGTTTGTTTAGTCTACAAATGCGCATTATATGACTTGTGAGAGTGGTTCTGATTTCGCTATATGAAACAAGATATACTGTATGCATAATGAACTAAACTCCAAAAATAACTTCAAACCAAGTTCAAACTACTTATTTGAAATTATTAGAGTTGAAAACACAATTCTTACATTGTTTCTTAAAACAACTTTGTTCAACCAAAGACTATATAATATACAGTCAAGACGTGTCACTCGTAAAGTTTTGAACGGGTAAAATTGTGACGGTCAATATGACGAATGAAGCACTGCCTTTTAGTACAAGAGCCAATCATTCAATTCAATTTATCTTTATTTCTATAGCGCTTTTACAGTGAAGATTGGTAAAAAGCAGCATAATATAGAAGTTCTAGCAAACTGAAAATGTTAGTCCAGTTTTCAGTTTGGTTCGGTTCAGTTTGGTTTAATTTTCACTTTCAAAAGTCCAAAATACTGAAGGGCAAATCCATCGATGTGCAGCTCCACTACTTACAAACCAAGCAAGCCAGTGGCGAGAAACAAACTTCACCAATTGACAAAAGTGTAGAGAGAAAAAAAAACTCAAGAGAAACCAGGCTCAGTTGGGCAAGTACAGTTTTCTGGCCAAACTTCATGTGCATTACTGCAGTCTAGGCACCAGAGGCTGGAGAATGCAGGATGTGGAGAAAGAAGAGACGTGGAGAAGCTGCAGGTGCGACGGCTGTTCAGGCTGGCCACAAGATTGATGCACAGACTCGTCTGTCACTGGAGTTTTTCAGGACTCAGTCCTATGCTCTCCACTTCTTTATGACTGCTCCAGAATCTGCTCAGGATATGGCCTGGTCAAGGATTATGGAGACCTCTAGAAGTCCTCTATGGTTGGAATCATCTCCTCTGAGGTCTCAAAAGATCTCAAGAAAAGTTATCATTGATCGCTATAGATCGATGATTCTCCAGGAAAGGGGCTTGGTTTCAACAGATCTTGTGTGATTCGAACATTTATAAATAAACTAAATGCAGCGATGCCCAAACTTTTTCTTATGAAGGGCCATAAACCTTGATTGGACAGAAGGCAAATATAGTTTCCATGTGTAATTTCCTTATTTCTTTAAAATCATTTAAAAATGTCTAGACTACATTGCTTTATATGAACTTATTCAGTATTTTTAACATTTTACAACGAACTTATTACACTAAATATCTAATTTTTGCCTTGATTTGCTCGTCAATGTCTTCTGCATAGTCTGTCGAGTGAATGTATTTAAATTTTTAAAAATCTGATTCATTTACAACATTTAATTTAAGCATTTAATTTCAGTTTGCTTTTTTGTAGCTCAGCAACAAAACAAACAAATTAAAACTGCAAGCAGCAATAAAAGGGACCTTGCACTATCAAAAAAGGTTACGTCAAATTAGAATTAATGATCTCGGTGTTAAAAGCATTTGCCCCAACCCTCTCCATCATTCTCACTCTCATCTCAGTTGGGGTGGTAAACCAAATCAAAAGTTACAACGGGCCAACTTTGTCCTGCAGGCCCTACTTTGAGCATCTCTGATCTAAAAAAAACAGTCATTGTTTAATTTTATTGGCGATTCCTAATATGAAATGTAAGCTTGGCATTCAATTTTAGAGAATTTGTTGTTTCCCCATTTAAACAAAATGTCCGAGAGGCGTTTCAAAGACGGCCGCTGAGTGAAATTACCTGCCTTAAAGGGACTCTGCTTCAATCCACTTCAGTTTGTAAAAAAATTTAATCGATTCTTTTTGAAACAACATGAAGAAATTGTGTACAACCCAGCATTTTTACAGTGTAGGTCAAAATAAGACAAACCTTCAGCATCTTTCATCGCTGCGATGCAGTTAGCTAGTCTGACACTGGAGGTAAAAATGCAAGACATTTTTTCTTTCGTATTACATACAGATGTTTCACCGGATAAAATCTGCATAACGTTGCCAAGAGCAATTATTAGTTTTATGCAGTCCTTCTGAGCTGAATTAATTAATTACAAGTAACAAGTCAGGTGTGAACTGTCCAATCACATCAAAACAAACTGCTTTCACGCTTGAAAGAGAATGAGATTTTCTTAAATACTTTAATGAGGTGTTAACAAAATAAGTGGTACAGTTTATTATTCCAGTCAGTTGATAGTGTTTTTCAGTGTGCATATTAATACACAAAACATACAGAGAGAAGAAAAAAACAGGTCCAATTCAGCCCCCCGATGCTTCTTTAAAGCATATTAGCACATCATTTTCTTTTTTCTGGGAATGCATCGAGGGCCTTAAGCGATTCAATCATTTCTAACGCCGGGTTGCTAACGAGATCCTCGCAGCTCCAAACCGGTGTGAACATCTGTGAAATAGTAAGCGAGTTGAAGCGTGCATGGAGTGGAATGAGAGAGGGTGATGCTGCATACGAGTAGCCTGTTTAATGTCATCATTTGGTCATTATGGTCAAAGGTCCTTTCAGTTTAGTCCACAAACAAAAAACACGTCCAGACATGATGTTTAAAAAAACGCATCACCCCAAAAACCGGGCGCCGTGTGGAGTAAACACAAACCTCATCATGCATCTGATCAGGCTTGAAATCCCCAAAAGGGCTGAAAGAAGCCACTTTTCGGTGACTGTATCGAAAAACAATGCTCACCGATGCTCAGTTTGTTCAATGCAAAAATACATCAACGGAATATCATAACCAGAAAGGCAATATATAACATTTAACACAAGAAAAAGAGCAAGAAATCAAACAAGAAAGCAAGAAATAGTTTATACATGCTGCAGTTAGAGTAGTAACATGCGTTTACCTCGTCTGTTTGGAGATCGCCAAGAGGAACACTCATTTTAGTGTCTTATTTTGGTCCTGCATTGAAGAAAGCTGTTGTGTTTTCACCTCTCTATACAGAAAATGTCTCCTCCATTCACAGTTGTAAGTATCTACAACAGTGTTCAATAATGTTCCCTGCTCCAATCAATCTTCAATCTAAAACGAGGAAACAAGTCCAACCGTCTTAAAACAACATCTGGAAAACTCTGATTCAACACATTGTGTACATTCTATATAGATGACAGTACTCTTAAATAAAAAATATAGTAATAAAACAAAGTGTTCTCATCCTTACGCTACAGAAAACAGATAATCAGAAACTTTCTTCAAGAATATCCCATGTGGTATAGAGTTTTAAAATGGCTTACTATATATGCTCAAAGGATTCTCTTTCATATTTACAAAATAAAATGCATATCTTTAGCATTGGGAGGTCCTGCGTACCATCACAGTCATTCTTTTTTCCTTTAGTTTGCAGAGTCCGGAAAGCTAAAACTGTTGGTCGAAGGCACTGACAAATGTCCTTTCATCAGTGCTGCTGATTAACATGATACAAAAATAATTGAGAAAAAAATAGACACTTAAGGACTAGTGGTTACAAATGGCAGAAAGTGAAAGACATTTGGCAAAGTTACTGTTTCATCTGGTCCCAACAAAGCAAAGTCAGGTTCTTGTTGTTTCCTTTCGTGTGATTGTTTGCGACCATGCAAATAAAGGCAGCGATGATATGCGTGTAACAGAGGGATAAAGCGACCGTTCACACACACTCCTCCGCAGACATCAGCAGAGGGTTGATGTACTCGAAGCCTTCAAACTCAGACTGGTCGATCTTCTTTACAGCATCACTGGGGGAAAGGCAAACACATAATCAATCAGTCTTAACCCTTTAACAGGCATCGTAACTGTCTGCTTGACCTTTGGTTCACTGACTTTCATTCAAATAAAAACCTCAAAATCAGCTTAGAGTGGTGGTAGGAACAAAATTTCAATAAAAAATTCTTAGTGTGAAATTTAAAGAGGCCAAACAATGTTGATATCTGAAAGCAATTTTTTGATTTCTCCACTAAAGTTCCTATAGACACATCTCTTGGTGCTGATTGGCTGCAAGTCTGTTTTGGGACTTGGTCACTTTTGCATGTAAAGTCGAAATACTCTCACTGACGCCTCTGCATGAGTTTATTTTTTATGTGACCATTACTTAGAATGCATCACTTCAACTTTTCCATGGCAATGCCACAACACCAGATTTATGTATATCCCATTTTATGTATATTCTGCAAATATTGACAAACATCCTAATTTTATTGAGAAATATCTGATATGCCAATACTAAAATATGTGTAAGGACATGGACTAATTTAAATGTCTAAGACATAAAATGAATGTAAGTTGTCTGAAAACACCAACAATATTAGATTTATGAAATTATTATGCAGCAGCTGATCATGTGACGCACTGACTATTAATCACACCAGTGTGATCGTGCGCATCAAAGAGTTAACCACTATTCTCAAAAAGAGACAGGCTGTAAAATATCTTCCAGAATGTTTATGTGTAAGCACACAGACTTTATTATTCAAAAACCTTAATAAAGATCATATTGATGTGGGATCAGAGCTGCTGGATTTAAAACATGGTAATTCATCATCTTCACCCAAATTACATGAAAGTAACTTACTGTTTAACTGAGAAATGAACAGAGTGAAGGTTATTGCACGATGAGTCCAAAATTTTCGCCTGTAATTTTTGCACATTAAAAAATAAATTCAACCTCACGTTGTGTCTATCCTGTTGACAGACTGCCTCTGAAACTTTCGTCCGTTATAAAAAGAAATTTAATCGGGTTTGATTTTTTAATTTTTCACGTCCAAAAAGACGTTTTGAGAGGCGTTTTGACAGTTCAGAGCCACCATACAAGCAAAAGGCAAAACACAAAATCCCCTTACTTGAGCCACAGATAACTTTATGACAAACACAGTGCATGATATAAGACAAAACATGTCAAAGAGTTGAAAACCCATATGTCTGAATCAGTGACTAGTTCACTTCTAACCTGCTGCTGTTTGGGCTGTGTGTGTCTCTGTGTATGTGTCCATACATTTGACGTACTGCCCATAGACATTATAATAGAAAGACACCTCATGTTTTTTTTCGGTCCGTTGCTCGAATGTCAATGTGGCCGCCATTTATTCTAATGTCTATGGTACTGCAAGTCTCTGTTCAGTCTATGTGAAGCATCACAAGCAATGTATCAAAATTCCACAGATTTTCTGAAATAAGTTTTGCATTTACATTCCTCTTTCTTTTTCTACTTCAGAAAAGAGAGGAGAATAAAGTATCGCTGCTTGAATTGACTCCGAAATGTTTTGCATTTTTTTTACTGAATGGATTAATTAACACGCATCGGACTCAGTATACAAGCATTGTATTTGTCCGTCTTACACACGAGACGTTAAACCGAGGTCCTGACTCTTTGTGGTTAAAAATCTCATGACATTTCTTGTAAAGAGCAGGGGTGTAACCCCGGTGTCCTGGTCAAATTTTCTTACCCATCATGTACTCCCAATCATCCCCATTCAATGAATTGGCTTTATCACTATCTCTCCACTCCACCAATAGCTTGTGTGTGTGGAAAGCACTGGCAGGATTATTCTGTGGCTGCAAGTGGATGCTGCACACTGGTGGTGGTGTAGAGAGACCGCCCTCATGACTGTAAAGCACTTTGGGTGTATTACGATACACAATAAATGCACTATATAAATACACATTACATTACCTGACGAATATAAATACAATAAATAAATGCATACGTAAATTTTGGACTTCAGTATGCAAAGACCTTAAACGTTTTAGTAACATTAACAGTGTGACACACATCGTCAGATAATGTGTAACATGATTATCATAGACTATCATAAACATTAGCGTGAAGTTTTACAGACCAATAAATGTTATGTTTTGCTAGCACTTGGGTAAATTAAGGCTGAACATTATATCGTTTAAGCATCGATATCGCAATGTGTGTATCTGCAATAGTCACATAGCAGGATTAGATTATTTTTAAGATTAAACTATAAGGATATTATTACATTTTATTGTTATTAAAACTGTTTATACAATAATAAGCATGTTGTTTTACATTTGATTGTTCGATTTCTGTACATGAATACTCTTAGACTTAACAAAAAATCATAAAGTACCGTTTATCCATTTGCTTTTGCTTGTAATTTTTAATAATTTATGCAGATCCACTGCATTGAATCATCCCAGTCAATCTACATTTCCAAATAGAGCTAATAAATTCATCTGGTAAAATTATATTCATATCACAATATATATTGCAGTAAAATAAAATATCACAATGTCAGATTTTTCCAGTATCATGCAGCCCTAATTTAAATGACTGAAACCTAAAATTAATGTCATTTTTCTGAAAACACCAACAATGTTACATTTATGATATTATTATTCAGCAGCTGATTATGTGACACATTGATCATTTTAATCACACCAGTGTGATCGTGCGCATCAAAGAGTTAGCCACTATTTTCAAACAGAGACAGGCTGTAAAATATCTTCCAGGAAAACTGGGTTATGTGGAAATGAGTGAATCGAGTCTGTAATGTGTCATCATACATCGTAAAAAGCAATATTACTTCCTGATGAAAGCTGCATTGCTGTGGTGAAGATGTGAAGTAGATCAATGGCGTCTGAGCCTGTGATTCAGAAAGCAAGAGGCGTGACAGTGACAGATGTACATGAACAGACACTCACTCATCGTCAGGCGTGAGCTGAATGGGCTCGTTGGTGAACTGGGCATCAAAGTTATCCAGACCAAACTCGCCCGAGATGTTAGGTTTGAACGGTGGAACTACTTGCTTCTGCTCCATCTGAAATACAGGTAACATGAGTCAAACAATGACTGAAATATACTCATCATAATGAGGTTACTACTTCTTAAAGTTAATTAACCATTAACTATAAAGAACAGATGTTTCAGTAAAGGAAGCAAGAATTCTACATGTACATTCCAATGTGTCTGAGCCAAAAATGACGTATATTTTAACCATGATTTACTAAAGACAATCATGATAAGATCATTCAGTGTAGCAATAGTTTATACACCTAAAAAATCCTGTCATATTAAGAACAAGAGTCACTGGAAGACATATTAAAAGGTTCAGCCCAAAAATACTACTTTAGATACCTCATCCTTTGTAATTATCCTTCCAGCCACTATATTTTACCCTTTTGTCAATGGGTTTTTAACTCAATACAAATGTACTACATTTAAATATTCTTTTATATATGTAACAATTATATGTTCACTTATTCCTTTATGTAATACATGAGAAACAACAACATTAAGCATTTTCATTTTGTCTGTTTATGCTAAAATAACACACAAATTTGTCAATTGTGTTTGACAAATCTTTTTGAAGAATAAAAATGAGTGATAATAATTCCCTGATATTTTTTATTTTGTTACTTTGAGCAAAAACTTAATACTGAGTTTTTTAGGGCTGCTCTTCCCAGCTCTTACTCTGTCCTTGCTGTAAGGTCAGGATGAGCTCCCCCTGCAGGCCACCACAAACACCGCAGTCTGTCTGAGAGCAAAGTGTAATCTGATCGTTCAAACTGTCTGACCGCTACAGCTGTCTGTGTGTGTGTTGCCCAGACAAAACAGGGACAAGAGGTCACTGTTTGTCTGAGTCTCATCTGCTGGTTTGACATCATTTAAACCTGCCTCACATGATACAGTTCACAGTCTCAACCCTAAGAGCAGAAAAATCAATAACATGACACCTTATCACCTTCATTGTATCACTGCCCTTACACGTGATCATGATACAACCACAATAAAATAAAACACTCAGACTTTTATATATTCTACAGATTCAGATATAGTATACCAATATGTATTAGTACGGAAACTCGACAGAAATCAAAAAAAGAATTATAAACCGCTTGAGGATTTGCTGGAAATAATATCCATTGGTTAAAGTAAAACACTAATATTGGTTTAATTCTAAAAAGGTCTGAAAAAAGTCTAAATTTCAACTTATTTTGTCTCTATAATAAACATTTTCATTTGTTGTGATTGAAATGCAGGGTTGTTATCCTATACATTATTGATCTCTTGATTTTTTACAGTTAAAACATTGGTATTGTGTTGTAAAATAACTAAATCTAAAAACATGCAATTTTTGTTATTTAATGCTAAAAAAGTATTTTAAATTTGATAAAAATCTGTGCGAAATAAACAAAAAATGTAATCTGGAGGATTTTAAACGCTAATGCTGTCTAAACTAATGCTCAAGACACAAAAAACCTCAAAAAAGTACTCCAGGGTGTCTTAAAACCTTTAATTTTGACGCCACAAATAAGTTCTTGACTTTTAAATCTAACGTTTGTAATCTTAAAATACACCCCTCACTTTTCTGTTTGTGTAAAAAAAAAATATACACAAAACTAATAGGATGTGTTTATAATGACTCATTTTTGGGTGAGCTATACTTTCAAAGCTGACGCTGCTGAAATGCTACTTGAAGTGGTAAGAGCTCACGACCAAATTACAGGAATGACTAATCAAATGAAGGATTCCTCAAGGTCATAAACAACAGTAAACAGCTCTTCAGGCTCCAGTAAGTCCTCTGTTTAGTTTCACTAACGTCAGGCTAGAGAGAATGACTCATTGCTTCCTCTGCGTCTCGAGTCAAAACATCCAAGAAGACAGATAAAGGAAACGGAGATAACAATGACTCACAAGATCCCAGTCTACATTTCGGAAAAAAGGATGGGCCATGATGTCTGCGAAGCCTGTCTGAGGATGACATCCCAGCCGTTCCTTCGACTCCTACAAAAAAAAGGACTGAATGTCAGTGAGAAGAAATAAGATATATTTTAGTTCTTTTTTGCTCTAATTGTCCAGCTAATAGTTTGCTAACAGTCTAATTTGATATTCATCTGGTCTTTGTATGAATAAAACCGAAAAAGTATTATGTACAATATTAGACTAAAAAAGAGGATCTTCATATTGCTGCTTTTCTGGTGATTTAACTTGCTTCTATTGACCTCATTTGTGAGTTGCTTTGAAAAAAACATCTGCTAAATCAATAAGTGTAAATGCAAAGAGATGAACAGACACACAGAATGATTAACACACAACAGAAGGAAATAAAGTAAAGAATGATTATGGCAGCACTATAACAAGCTCATCTGACGTAAGGACATTAGCATTGATCTGTCTGGTCTGCTTCACCTTGTTGAGGAATCCCTTCAGCACGCTTGCGGCTTTGACCGATAACGATCTGGGAATTCTGATCTGCTTCTCCAAAATGACTGCAGAAGAAGTGTAAAGGAAAACATGAGATATGCACAGAAAAACAAAGCATTATTGAAACGTTCATGCTGCCAGTCATGTACCTTGGAAAAGATAATCCTCTGTGTTTTGGTCAGGGTTATCAGAGCTGCCGACTATGTCGAAGGGAGATCTTCCAGCCATCATCTCAAACATCAGGACGCCCAGAGCCCACCAGTCCACACTAAAACCTGGACACAAATAACATGCATCATTCTAAGGCTTAATACTGGTATAAATGTAATCGTCAGTGGGGTTATGAAGCAATCGCTAACTATAATAAAGGTTTCAAAGGTGCAGTATGTAGGCTTGATTGAACTAGGTATTGCAGTCCAAATTCAAAATATTGGAGTTTGTTTTTTCTCACTTAGCCCTTCCGCTGACACAAAGGTTGCCAGATTGATTACAACAACAGGAGAAAGAGTGCCTTCAGTTTAGCCTTTCACTGTAAACGGATCAGCTAATGTTTATGTTTGTAGTTTTTTGCTAAATAAAAACTAGCTCATGTAGATATACAGGTCATATTTTGGCAGCTCAGAGAGCCAAAATATAATGAGTAAACTGGCAGTGGGTGGAGTTACAGAGACCAAAACATTCTGACACAAAACTCCCATTTTCAAAAGGAGAATAACTGACTCTAGCATCATTTTTCAGATAAACAAGTATGTTTATTAAGCATTCATCTTAAATGTCTGCATATATAACATATGGTATTTTTAAGACTTAGAAGAGCCATAAACTTACATGCAGCACCTTTATGCATAAGCAAATTTGTGATTACAGCGTTAGCAAACATAGTTGCTAACTGAAAATTTTCATAAAGAGTCTCTGTTGTGTGTGAATTGAGTTTACCATAGTCTTCTCCTCTCAGAATCTCTGGTGCAATGTAATTGGGAGTTCCACAGAAAGTGCTGGTTGTATCTCCTGGTCTCAGTCCCTCCTGTGTAACAGATAACAATAATGAAACCAAAAAAACTTATAACACACATTAGCTATGTTTCCATGCACCTTTTTTTATGCACATTTTGGATACAAGCAAAATAAAAAATTGATTGATGGAAATGTCAGAGCAGACAGAGAGATTTACAATGTAAGCAGACACGGATGAAGCGCCAGTGATTTACATGTGAAGTCAATGCAAAGATTTGATTAGGCATCCTGTGGCACGAATTAGTCTGTGCATTTGATGCGCTTCAGACTGAAAAAAAAAAGAGCAAACATCTAACAAACAGAGCAATGGAACAGACAGAAGAACAAGCAGCTTACAAAGATGGAGGTTGATTCAAGGATGACGGCCGCTGGTCGTGACTGAATTGAAGGACATTATTTGTGCTTTACATCTATGGCTGGTAATACGATGTTAATAAAATCGATAAATGTTTTTGTTCGACTCTTTTCCTGCAGGTACCGAGAGAAAACGCTTCCCTGCCATTGATGAGTTTTACGTTAATCTGTTTTTAAGGTGTATTACAGTAGGGGAAACCCTAATGTATGTCCTGAGTGAGGTACACAATGTCAGATGCTCCGGAGAGTAAAATCTGAGAGAAAGTAAGATCATGGATAAAAATAAGAGTTATACAACCTTCCTTTGACTTAATCCTTACTGTTTTAGATCTTGTCTTGACAAGAGACCAAAATAAAGAAGCTTTATTTTTATGATTTGTGTCATTGTCAGATTGCACACCTAACAAAGTAGGCAACCTAATATGGTAAATGTATATACATTTATAAAAATAACTATTTTTTTATTGACAAATTTTTCCTAAAATTTCTGGGAATTACCACCACAAAATATATATATTTTCTAAAAAAGTGAAAACTAGGGGGTCTGCTATTGAAAAGGATGCTATACAATAAGATATTTGTGTCCATACATTACAGTAGTCAGTACTAAAGCCAAAACTTACTTAAGAAAATACCTTAAGATTGATGGGCAAAAATAAGTACCAACTAATGAATATCTTAAGGAAAATGTAAAATAAATCTTTAATACAGAAAAATCAAGAGAACCACAAAAATATAGAAAATTGTATTGAAATTTTTCAGTTTGTCATTTTTTTGACAACATTAAATTTAAATGCATTTTTATTCCAAAAAATGTCAGGTGATCACACTCTTATTTTAATAAATATTTAATAACTGTATTAAATATTTAACTGTTTTGTTTAAATGGACCAAAATACATACATTTTCAATATCCACAAGGACATGTATAAAAATTCATTTTCTAAAGGTGGTGTACTCATTCAAAGGTTACCATCAAAATTTTGGTACCCAACATTTTTCACAATTACTTTCGGTTTGGAGCAAGTGGAAAATTTAACCAATGACCACATTCAGACTTACCTTACACATGCCGTAATCGGTGAGTTTGATGTGTCCCTCTGAATCCAGCAGAACATTGTCCAGTTTCAGGTCCCTGTAAATAATGCCACGCTCATGGAGGTAGTTCAAGGCAAGACTGATCTCTGCAGAGTAAAACCTGCGAGCGGAAAGAACAAGACACACAGTAAGTGACCTCATTTTTGTTTCTGTTCCTGTGGCGAGGCGTTCAGACAACGTTAAAAGTGTTATGCATTGGATGTCCTCAGACCTGGCGTGCTCTTCCGGAAGTTTCCTCTGCCGCTGCATGTGGAACATGAGATCCCCTCCATTCACATACTCGATTACAAAGAACAGTCTGTGAAAGAACAGCATTAAATAATCATTAGCCCCTATTATCAGACAAAGACACAGTTCACACTTAACTAAAAGGCTCAACAATAAATGGCCTAAGGGGCACTTATATTGAATTTTGGGTGTACAACTTAAAAAAATAATAATTTACTTTTTATTCTCACTACATCTTACACTTTTTATACATGTATTTTAATGATGTCTTATGACTAGGCTCACATGGAATCTACGCACGCAGAATTCTGCAGATTTTCCGCAGATTTTTAGCCCATCATTAATTCTGTTTATTTACCCAAGTAAATGTGTGTAAATCTATATTTATTTAGTTTTTTAATTAAATAAAGTAATATTATTGACTAATGTAAAAATGTTCATCTGATTTATGTACAATGCAGTTCGTAAAGTATTATTTTCTGTCTTTTAGTAGATATATTAGATGAGAGACTTGCTTTGTTTACCAAATAAAGTGAATCTAATTGGATTTGCATTTTAAACATTAAATCAAAGGTAAAAAGATATAATTTTTTATTTTCACATTAAGGTTTTAGTTATAATCAGGGTTCTTACACCTTTTCCAACTTCAAATTCCAGCACTTTTCATGCACTTTCAAGGTGCATTTTTATGCTTTTCCAGCACCTAATAACCACGGTTAATTACATTTTTATATATTGTATGTACTTTTTCACATTTAAATCCATTGTGCTATTTAAAAAATTTAGAACATAGGGATAGTTTACCCAAAAATTACCCAAAAATCCAAGTTTTTGGGTAAGTTTACCCAAAAATGATTTACCCAAAAATGATTAAAAAAAACATTTTAAAAAATTTAGTTATTCGATGAAATATGCTTTTAAGTTTGGTCTATTTTGACCTAAAGTTGATATCTTAAGAAATGAGCTTACAGTATTTACAGTAAAATTGTGCACATATGCAACCAAAACAGTCACAATTTTAAGCCCAGCAAATTCAAGCAGGTTCAAGCACTTTGTCCAAAATCCAAAGTTAACAGAAAATGTTAGCAGATTCCGTGTGGCCCTTCTTATGACTAAATGAACATTGATGTGGCAAAAAAAAAACACTCTTCAAGGCTGCATTTATTTCAGTTGTAGTAATAGTATTTTTTCATCTTTAATGCATTTGTAAATGTCATTTTTTCCTATGATGACAAGGCAGAATTTCCAACAGCCATTAAATCCAGTATTAAGTGTCACAAGGAGTTTCACAAATAATCCTATTATGCTGAACCATATCCTATGGTGCAGCACAAGTGTATTTCTTATTTTCAACAATAAAAACCGTTTAGTTGCTTAATATTTTAGAGAAAGCTGGGATGAACTTATGACCATGAATGTTGTTCTAAAATTGTAAACTAACTAACTTTTACTAAATGATTAGCTCTTTTTTAATTAAACACTTTTAATTAACTATAGGTATTTATTACTTTATTGACCACACATTCTTTGAATATGAATTTTTTCCATGTCTCAGTGATTATAGACGATATATTTTGGCACATTTAAATAATAACTTTTTCTTAAATATTCACTTAAATAAGAGTGTGTTCACCTGACATCTTTAGGAATAAAATATGCTTGTGAAAAATATTATAAAAAGATTTTCAGAAGTATAAATCTGTAAAATTGAATAAAAATAGGAATAAATTAATTTTAATAAAAATATTTTTTTTGCTAATTAGTAATATTCATAATATTATATTCGCTTTTACAATGACAATCAAGAAACAAAAACACAGTTTACACGAATTTCATAATATAAAAGGAAATGAAATACAATCTGTATCATATCATCAGTAAATACAAATACACAAATTATAATTAAATACGTTACAATACTTTGAAAAATATAAAGGCGGGTAAAACAATCTAACTTAAACATAATATAAACTAATTCTAAATTAACTTACTGACTTTAACTAAATTATTAGCTCTTTTTAATGGAATGCTTTTAATTAACTATAGCTAATTATTAATTTAATGACCATGGAATGACTACACCCCCGTCGAAAATTATTTTTGAACATGTCTCATTGCTTATAGCTATATATTTTGGTACATTTAAACAAAACCATTTTATTAAATAATAATAAAAAAAAAGAGTGTGCTTACCTAACATCTTTTGGAATAAAATATGCTTGTGAAAAATATGATATTAATATTCACAAGTATAAATATATATAAGTGTAAATTAATAAATTAATGTCAATAAAACTATTATTTTGCTGATTTAGTAATATTCACAATATTAATGAGTTTACAATGACAATCTAGAAATTAAAATACAGTTTACAAACGTATTCAATTAATTTAGTGTCATATTATAAGATGAAATTTAAATATTATGCATTTAAATACATCTGTATTACAAAACTATAAAAACTTTTGATCTACACAAATACAAAAACACATAATAATAAAATACGTTACAATACTTTGAAAAATATGAAGACGGGTAAAACAATCTAACTAAAACATAGTATAAAATAATTCAGTTCAAATATATAGCATCTCATTTAAAAAAAAAAAAGTGTTAATAAATCAATAATTATTCAGTCATAGTTAAAGATGCTGTTTGTAAGTTGTTGACTCATTTTGAAGCATAAAAAAAAAATAATATGTTTGCAGATATTTAAGAAATTGCCAAGTGAACATTCTTGTTTATCTGAAAAAAAATGCTGAAGTCAGATATTCTGCTTGAAAATGTGAGTTACGTGCCGGAACGCCTGTCTTTGTTTTGCTCCTATAACCCGCCCAATGCCAGATGAGCCAATAACATTCTAGCGCCCTGGGTTGCCTTGGTGGAAAACCGCATATTTCATTCATTCATTCAGAAAGGATCTCAAAGCATGCGCCCGTTACCGAAATGCGACCTCCGGTGGACAGTAGAAGACTCCGAAATGAGACGCAGATTCAGAGTTCTATATGAGGTGGTTATTAATTAGCAAATAATATAAACACTACGACCATAAACATTAGGTGAGCAGATTACATTGTAACCCTATGGTCCAACAACACACTACGTGAAGAGATTTGCAAAGATAAGCAATTTGGCTCTTTGCACAAGACAAACACGACAGAAATTTAAATACAGCCATTCAGAAACACAGAATATGCACTCACACAAGAAATGGTAAGGTTTATCATCTAATTAATACATATTAAACCTCTTTAACATTATTAAATGTAGAAGCTGAGTTATTGACATGTGTTGGTTTTGAGTCACAGTTCCAAAAGTTCAATTTCAAGCGGCTTATTTTATTTTCCAGATCTGAGGTGAACAATCTGCTGCTGCTTTCAATAGTATGGCAATAAATGTCATGTAAAATGGTATTCAAATTCACATTATTAGTATTTAACACTAAATAAAGCACATGAGGTGTACCTGAGGAGATCACTGTCAGCTTTCAGTTGTTCAGCTATGAGAAATAGAAGTTGTTTCTAATATATCAATTCAAGGTTTGGTTAGGACAAAAACTTTTAACATTGTAAATATTCCTTCTATTGCGTGCTGTTTCTTTTATATACAACACTTGCTCCTCTTTGTCTTTAATCTGGCAACTTGCATTTGTTTTGATCCAGGAATGCATTACCTAGTTCAACCACTGGGTGTCAAACTTACAAACTGCACCTTTAATCAAAGGTGTTCCATAAAAAAGGAGAGGGTGCTCGCTGCAGAGCCATTTGAGCAGAGCTGAGCTCCAGCGAGGGGGAGCATGAGCTCTCGCTCCTCCTCCTGTAAGCTGTTTTAATGCGTACACCAACCCCACCCCTAACCCTACCCCCAGTGACATCACTCGTAGAAGAAGTGCAAAAAAGGTGGAGCTCAAGCTCCCCCTTGCTGGAGCTCAGCTCGCCCAAATGGCTCTGCAGCGAGCACCACTTGTAAAAAAGGGCTAATAATTTAGTTAAAGAAAACAATTGAGAGCTTAACTGCATAAATTGTAAAATAGAATTAATATGAACCCATGTTTAAAACAATCGTGAATAACGTAACAATATATTTGATTTGATGATCTAAAAATGTGTGTAGAGATGGACAGACCTGCTCTCCGTCTGGAAGCAGGAGTGAAGTCCCACAAGGAAGGGATGGTTTGAAGCCTGCTCAAACACATGCTTTTCAGTCTGAACCCAGTCAATATCCTGAAAAACAAGAAAGAAGAACAAACATCACACACACACACACACACACAAACACAAACACACAAAATCAATCTCCCATTGAAAAGCAGAGCATTCTTTCAGTCAGTAGGGGAAACATTTGGAAGGACATTCAGGACAGTATTGAGCAGAGGCTCCTCGCAAGGCTGAAAACTGATAAAGGTTTTAAAAGACGGGGGCACCAGGTCTTCCCGAGAAGCTGCTCCTGTATGTGAGGAGACTCATAATGGACAGATACAGAGTGAAAAACTAAGACCTTTCATTGACAGCTTGGTAAAAATCCCTCTGACCGTGAGACTTGCATAAAGAAGCACTGAGGGGCCAGTAGAGCACAGCTGCCATTATTGACCATCGGCTTCTGCTGTCAGTTCATCACACGAGCCTTAAGTGCGGCTAATCATCGTTAAATGGTCACTTCATCAAGACCCTGTCTGTTTGTGTGCACTTCAACACATTCTGGAAAGCTTATATCCAACGACGCCTCTTTGCTTAATTTATTCAGCATAGTCATGACTTATTTTGCTTTTGTCAGGAGAAATATTTTATTTAGTAAATTTCATGAAGTCTGTGTAGAATGTGGTTTATTTGAACCAATTATGATTCACAATTAGAGCTGTAAATTTCATTTAAACGGTAGGGGGCCAAGAAATAATACAATGTAAAGCAATGCACAGCTAAACAATATGCTAATTGTGGCCTTTAACATTATACACAGTCGTCACAAATATAACAATGCATGGGAAATGGCTTTGGCATGTTAGTTGCAGTGCACTACGCATCACACTATAGTAAACAAGCTAATGTTAACTAGATAAATAATATTTTAATCGCTAATACAGTGGATTCAGGGAAAACTACATCAGTAATCAGCATTTTTGCAACCAAGTTATGAACGAGTCTGCATCAACTCTATTGATGAAAATCGCTTTATTTTAAGTGACTAAAATACCCTACTTACTGGAGTCCAACATAAATTAGGCCCCAGCCACAAACCTGACTCGTGTGTGTGTGTGTGTGTGGTGTGTGTGTGTGTGTGTGTGTGTGTGTGTGTTTTTGTGTGTGTGAATTAGTATAGACGAACTGGGAAAGCATGCAGTGGTCCAAACCACTGTGAGCAAGGGGAGGGGGAACTCAACGGTTTATAAACGCACTCTTTGTGTTTGTTTTCTTACTTATGCAATTATTTTAGGTATACATACATATATTTTTCACAATAGAGAGTAAGATTTAAAAAAAAAATGTTTTGGGGACAACCCTCAGATGGAAGACATCTCTCCGTGTTTGATTTTCTTATACATACGATTTTCTTATATACGGTTATGCTGTCGGACTGTTGTATAAACGCAACATCACACTTTTAGCAGTGTGATGCGGCTGTATATTGTCACTTGTGGGACACAAAGGCATTCGGGCTGTGGACTCGTGCCAACGCACGCCTCCCACCAGTGCCGATATACAGCTACATCGCACTGCTACTCGTGTGATATTGCTTAATATAATTTCAACAGATGACTAAAGATTGGCAATTATTTTAGAAACAAATGTGAGTGTATTTGCTTAAAATATAACAAACAAATTTTCAGTAAAGATAAAAACAAAAGATCAAAATTTCAAAAGAAATAAACACTGCTTTTCTGGTTCTGTTTTCCTTCTGTATAGTCTGACCATGCAAAACTAAATGTAAATAAAATACTGCACAGTCATCACTGTATAAATTAAATACAATTAATATTTGTAAAGCTGCAAATGTTGGTGTTTCTTGTGCATGAATGCTCTCTTGTTGTGTTTAAGCCTTTGGTTCAATCCAACTTTGGATTGATTTTGCAGACACAGACAAATTTTCAAATTCTGAGACAAAACCCTCCAGATTGCAGCTAAATGAGGAAATCGTAGATCTCTCTCTTGGCTGTGACTGCTTCTTGACCAAATGCGCTTTTCCCCTGCATGGTACATCTTGGCTCGGCCTGGTTCTGTTCGGTTCAGTGCGGCTTGAATCTTCTCGCTTTTCTTTTTCACTGCAGTTTGATATCGCTTTAATTGGTGCGATTACAGTCATATCATCATAGCTGTGCCGTCTGCACTGCATTGCCATGACATTCTGAATCAGCCCATTCAGCTCTGACAGGCACTCATTTATGATGCTGTGACAATCATTACTTTCAATTTTGCATTGTATGTCATTATTGTTCCCCTTGTGTGTGAGCATGTGTGAATGTAAAAAAGCGAGAGGAAGCTTTCGTCTTGTGCAGAAGCGATATCACCACTTGATTTTTTCGCTGCTTGTTGTCTTTACATTTTCATATAGTTTGGCATGTATGTGTATTTTAGGATTATTTCGGATTAAAGCCCAATACTATTCTATTTGTGTACCCCTACCTTTTGGCCCTTGAAACGGAGTGCAATATGTCATTGCAAGCTCATATGAGATCGATGATCGCACTGCTGTAGTTATTCCAGTTGCACTATATTTTGGTATTTATCTTCAGGAAATCGCCAAAGGCAATAATATCATGTTGTCATAACAATATAATGTGGCAATAAGCTCGTAACTGTACTGTGCATTTACACTGTGGCCATATTCATCTATGCAAAAGAAATCAACATTAACTTTCTACCAGACACTGTAAAAAGGTCATTCCCAGCCTTTAGACTTTTCTGACAGGGTATTCGAGTGTCATCAAGCATTAGATGTGGAAAGTATGCTGTGGGACAGCTATACAGGAGCTATTATTATGGATTCTAGATTTTATCGTTTATTTTTTTAAAAGATCATAAAACATGAATGCCATTATGCTTGTTTTAACACAAAAACACACTCATTTATGTATTATCAATGAATTAAGCCAGGAACAAAGATGGCGGCTTGCAGTTGGAACGTGCAAACAGTGCTAATAATCACTGCTTTTTATAGTTTGCTTTCTCCAGTTAAGGAGCCCAATTTTACTTTTTTAATACAGGACAGTGATATGGTGAAGAGACATTTTGGTAGGAGAGCAAATATTGTTTAAGAGTCGTTTATATCTACCGTGTACTAAGAAAAACAGACGTAAAAAAAAACAACAACAAAGCTGTGATGGATAGGGACTAAGCCGAAAAGGAAATGAATGATTAAATATATATATATGTATTTGTGAATAATTTTGTTCCTGTTTTAAAATGTGGAGGTACTGTTTATTTTATACATCGACTGTATTTTGAAGCCATACTTTATTTACCAGCGAGGCCCACAATGGAAACAACCCCTGGGCTTTATTGTGTTTTTATCATCAACAGTTTAATTAAAAAATTTAGGGGCTACTTCTATTTTTGTACAGCTTGTCTAAAATCTGTCAAATAAAAATTCAATTTAAAATTCAATTCAATTCAATCTCCTGACTTCTGTGTGCAGCCATGCTGCTGTTGTAGCTGGTGTATTCTTGGAAATTTTCGTACCCCTCGGTTTCGAGTGTGGTCCTGGAAAATCTCTGTTTCAAGGACTATAGTCCTTACTCTTAGTCCAATGCCTTCAAGCTAAAGAGAATTGGGGCAGGGAAGGGAAAGGGCTAAGGGGTTGAATTGGGATTAGCCTAAGTGCCTGGAGTCTTTTCATCTCACTTCAATATAGAAGTGATTTACAATATAGAAGACGTTTCACATAAAGAAGTGATAAGTGAGCTGTAGCAAACCAAACTGTGGCATAAAATTTTCTATGACAAGAAAAAAAACACAACATACAGGTAGTTCACAAGTTCTCTAATGCTTGCTTTTAAAGGTCAGGTGTTATTCATTATCCAAAATCATGCTAATGATATAACAGCGGCATTGTTTGCAAGTTCCTATTTTTATGAAATGTGAAAAGTCACCTCGTCATCGTTGACCAGCTCCTTCTTCACCACCTTCATGGCATAGATGCGTTCTGTCTTTTTGAGACGCACCAGCAGAACTTTGGCATAGCTGCCCCTGCCAATCACTCGCAGCAGGTCAAAGTCTATTAGACCCAAACTGGACACCGCTTTTCCTGATTCCCGACTGCCCACAGCCTGAAGGATGCATGAACGGAGTATTAAACCAGTATCATACAATCATACATTTCTGCTTCCTGGTTTAGATGTTCTTCTCTGTCCTCTCTCTTTGTTTTTCCCTTGAGCCGCTTGATTTCCTATGACTGCCACAGAGCTACAGAGCTCAGGCCCTTAATCAGATGCTAATGACCCTGATGGAAGGTTACTTTATTAGCTGTACGAAAGGAAATCAATAGAGCCGAATGGACCTTGTGCACACCCCCATACCACTGCATGAGTGACAAGTCCAGCCTAATCATCAGTCTGAGAGCGACTGCTGAAAGCTCATCCAATCACACACTGGTCATAATAGCCACATTTACACCTGCAACTAGCATTTATTTAGACTGATTTCATGAGCAGGTGCAGAGTGTTGAAGACAAATCGAATTTTACAAACCACATTTAAAAACATTAAATAAGCAAGCAGTCATTTAAAGAAAAAAAATACATTTTTAAGTCAACATTAACAACTATTGCTATTATTATTTTATTGTGGTTTAAATTATAAACATCCAACTTAAAAATAATAAATAAAAATCATTGATATTCTAATATAAAAATGTCTTGATATTAATACAAATGTATTCTTACAATACTAATATTTATACAAACATTATATTTTCCCAAAAACTCATTTTTTATGATATATTTCCAAATAAATCTTTATCCAAAGGGAAGCATTGAAGATTAGTTGGTGTTGTATACACAAATATACATACAAGTTGACATTTTACAAATCTAAATGACATCTTTTACATTCTACTGACCCCCAAGTTTGAATGCGAGGAACCCCTCATTTTAAGCGTATTATAAATGGGTATTATTTGGAAAAGATTTAGCTTCTATTCAGTTACTTTATTACCATTTAACACTTATAGTAATGCATTTATTTATTTAATCACATATTTGTTTCCTTATTATTTAATTTTCTGTATTATTATTGTTAATTTTATCTATATGTTAATAATATTTAGCACATTTAACTATTGAAGTGTTAATGAATTAGTATATTAATGATTTATTATTTATATATAAAATCTACAGATATAAATAATAGATATAACTACTACAACGTATTAATATAAGGGTAACACTACAATAAGGGTTGTATTTTCATTATTGTTAGCTAATCCAATTACTAACATAAAAAATTACAAAACACTAAGCATCACAGTATTTTTTGTGTTAGTTAATGTTAAAGAAAATACATTTGTTTATTGTGAGTTTATGGTAACTTGCAGTGCATTCATTAATGTTAACAAGCATGAATTTAGATTTTAATAATGCATTAATAAATGCTGAACTATGGTTAATAAATACCGTACAAGTATACTTAGTTAATTTTAGCAAATACATTAACGAATAAATGCTTACTGTAAAGTCTGACCATAATTATTATATATATTGTAATCAACTTTAGGATTATTCATTCTATTCATCTTAATAAAAGGCTAGGTAATTTAGTAGAAACGTGTGGTTTTATTTGAATAATTAAATGAAGAATTCTTTTTAAACATGGACCCCCAGGAAAACCCTTGTGACACCCTGAGGGTCCACAAAACTGAGATGGACATCTTAGGCAGCAGTATTTTACTTGTTTACTAGTAAATGCATTAGCTGGGATGATGTAGATGCCAGGAGCAAAGCATGTCTTACCTCATGCTCCTCTCCCTCATGATTGATGCTTTCTGTTGAGTTCTTTTTGCCCAGAACTGAAACACAACAAAGAGAAACAAGAAAAGTCATTGCTCAATGCCCTGCAGACATTATTCATTTATACACAATTATTCGCAAGCCGCTAAACCAAACTGGGCACTTTGATAAAGCACAAAACAACAAGGAATTGAAATGTATCTGACCAGCACTGTAACTAAAGCCACAAGCTTGTTCCCGTCATTAATTCCAACAAACAAGCTTAATCTAGTGAGAAGACTCACGCCTGTGGGCTGCTCAATGCATCACTCTGTTTGAGTGCGAGCACACCTAATTACTAAGAGGAAACATCAGCTTAACCCATCCAGTCATTTCAAATCCCTCAAGATGAAAATCAGTGGCGTCAATGAGCCACTATAGATCTTACTGAATCAATTTAGCCACTTAATGAATGCAATAACTCAGATGAACATTGTTTAACACCTCTGCATTACAAGCTTCTTTTTTAGTCAAATTGCTGACAATAAAACAAAGTCTGATTGACTTTGTATGTTTGCAAACTGATCTGTTGGTAAATGTTTATCTTAAAAAAGGTTGCAATCAGAATATGCACATTTTACAATTTAGGTTCAGGAAAGTTTACCAGATTGAACTTAAGTTGCAAAATATGAATACTGAACTGTTTAAATTACTAAACAATCTAAAAGTTGATCAAATAAATACATTGTTTATTTTATCAGATATACGAAAAATCTGAACAAGGCACAAGAGGCTGATTATTCATTGACCCGAGGCAGAATAGTTAGAACTGTTTGAAAGATAAAATAAATCTCAAAAAGGCATTCTTTCAAAAAAATGATTAGTCTGCAATTCAAATTCAAGTAAGAAAGAAAAATCTGATAGACCCGATATAGAATACATATATGACAAGGGCAAATATAGATGAGAGCCTGTCGTACCTTGATCTGGGTGCTCTGGATGAGTCGACCCTGGATCGATTCTTCCGATCATTGGGTCCTATAAGAATAGTAAGAAGGTCAAGGACAGATAGACTGAGATTCAGAGTATTATTAGCAGTAATAGCATCTAATGTGAAGGTCTTGAACTAGAAAAGGAATGTAAATTGTAAATAGGCTCTCTTTAGAAAGTGCTTAATCCAACATGAATTATGGATTACTTTTAGCTTTCTTTTTTTAAAGTAATAATGTAAATAATTTCAGCAAAAAATCTGCTTTAATGAAGAAAAAAAGTCACATACATAAAATCAAATATCAATATACATAAATCAAATGAACAACAAATTTTAATTTTAGATGAACAATTTAAGTAAAATGTGAAAACAAAAGTGTGAAATTTGTTGAAAGTGTGAAATTGCATTTAAATCTCTGGGATGTTTTGTTGCAATCCTGAGCTTTATAACCAACCACATTGGTTGGTTTCACTTACATGTTTGTTTGCCATTTCAGTTTTTTTTTAAATGCATTTTTTAAAGAGTCATTGAGATATACATATTACTGCTAAAAATACTACAGGTAAAACAAAACCATTATTTATGTCCGTGCACAACTAAAAAATAAACAAATTTAAGTCCATGAATGAAGAAAGGGCAATTTATAGATTTTTTTTCTTTTCGCCATCACACTACTCATAAATGTTGTTTGAATTTGCCACATACACGCATTGATCGAAACATCCATTTTATTGTTTACTGAGTTCTTATTCATTTTGCTGTAAAAAATAAACACACTAAAAAGGAATTATGATTGTATTTTTAATAGGAAACTTTGGATTTCTAGTGATGGTTATTATTTTTTAAACTGCAAAATATAATTGAAGCTAGACACCTGGAGAGCCACATATTTTTGGTCAAATAGCCATATGTGGCTAGCGAGCCATAGGTTCCCTACCACTGTTTAAAACAGTTTGTTAATCACTTTTTATTGTTCATTTTTAATTGCTAATAGTTTTAACCATAGAAACCTTAAATTGTAACTTCATTGATACTAATTACATTATTATTTTTATTTTAAGCCTTAAAAGTTACCCTAGTAATATTCCACTCATTTTTTCAATGAGCATTACAATGAGTGGCCTATAAAGGGTTAATTAATTGAAGGATTTGACACAATTGATAAGATCATGATAATAAAAGCTCAATGGAAATCAACAGAGAAGGCAAATGGTGCAAACTATTAGAAAAGCAAACTTCTGACCATGCGAATGCCTCACCTGTATTACCTGTCTACCACATTCTACTGTGACCAGCTTATGGCATTTCTTATGCACCAGAAGCTTACAGTTGATACACTTGTATCCCTGCCTGCCCAGACCCCAGATACGATCTGTGCAGATGGCACAATGAGCACGCTGTACAAAACAAAGTGACAGGCAAATTAAAGCAAACACAACATACTACAGAGAAATTAAGAATATATATATATATATATATATATATATATATAATAAGAGCATATACCCTGTTAAAGCGTTTGGCCTGAAACGCATGTCCAGTGGCATAGTAGAGTTTCCTCCAACGTCGAGCTCCCCGCCGGTATATAGACTCTGAGTACAACAAGTCAATAAAATCTATGCACCACTTACACAGAATCAATGCAGCCACAAAATGTATTTTTTTTTTAAATATGATATAAATATCAGAAAACACACATACTGTCTTCTCCAGGACAGGGCATGCCAGGTTTTTCAGGGACACAAGGAAACACTGGAGAGAGAGAGAGATTGTGAAAAAACAGCTCCTGCATGACCCCTCTGTGACCTCTCCTCGTCTGACAGCGGATAAGGACTTTGGGTCAACAAACAGAGTCTGTCCAGGCCTACAAGGTCAGCCGGTGTGGACAGTGTCTATTGACGGACAGTCAGTGGGGGTGTTTTTCTGAAAGCCCTTGTGGCCAGCCGTCGTCTCCTCAGCATAACTAATGAACTCACCCAGCAGGCAGAAGAACAATGCATCTCTGTCAATTAGGCTTGCATGATACTTCGAAAAATGTGATATTGTTGAGTTTTGCGATAACAATATTTCCTGTGATATAACATTTACAAAGAGAAATTTTATTTTTAATAGCTATTATTTAAAATCATTTATGTAATGATCCTAGTACATATCTATTTGTAATTCCTGTTTAAAGCAAATAACTATCTGTATATTCTGTTCATATCTATCTGCATGTACCGAATTATTAATGAAAACCTGTTCAGTATGTTAATCTATAAGTAAATCTCTTATTATAGTTAAGAAAACTTATATATTATGTTCACAGTGGATCCATCTGTAAAAATTACCCATAGTTTTCTATAGTTGCACTCATAATGTCTACCTATATCCTGGACTCCTGGATGGACCTAAACCGCATTTCGTTGCCTTGTACTTGTGTAATGACAATAAAGTTGAATATAATCTAATCAAATCTACGAATATAAACAGGTATAATTAACCTAGTTTAGGGGGAAAAAACAAGCCATGAACATTTAGACTTTAAAACAATGTGAAGACTATAAACCTTAACATGACATTTTTTTCTTATTGCCATTTCCCTGCTTCTGATATTAGTATTTATTTTCAAATCTCTGCTCTGAGGCACTAGATTCACCTTTGGTAATAATAGCATCTACTGGGTACAAAAATAATTACAGGTATAAAAAAGATAAACCCTATATAAATAACCTTTGCATGCAACACAAATGCTTGGAACATAAAATAAAGTGAATTTAAGTCGCACCTCTGTGCAATACAGATATTGCACATACGATTATCGCAATAACAACAATTTTTCAGTATAAGCAGCCCTACTGTCAAACATTACCCGAATACTTTCTCATTTGTCCAATAAGCATCTGAAGACCTGTATGACTCTGTAGGGCTTGTTATGAATAAATAAACAAACACATATACCCGAGCCATAACATCAAAATGTGGAGCTTCATCAGAGCTCATCACTAGGGTCTTGACATGCTTGAAAGAATGCGTGTTATTATGACTCATGTAAAAATAAACTGTTGATGGAAACATCAAGATGTGCATAAATGGAAATCATAAACTGAGTAAAAAATGCACAAAAACTATGATGGAAACACTTTTACCAAACAAATTCCACTATACGAATAAAAAAAAAAAAGTCATGTGATTTTCTTTTAAGAGATCATGTGATGGTAAAAATGTGTGTGAATGGATAAACCAGCAGGTTAAGCACATTGTAAAACATCTGAAATGTTGTTTTGGTCATTCTAAAACGCCTTAACCATTTCAGCCTCCACGTGCTCCATGTCTCACGCCTTCAAACGGCACCACATGTTCACTGCATGTTGGGATTGCCTTCTGAGGTGCAAGTCATTTATTAAATAAAGAAAACAATCACGCAGCAAATTCCATTTTTACTGTTGATATTTGGCAGCAGTTAATCAGACTGATGATTTTGTTCTCTTTGACTCTGCGTTATTTGCATGTACTTTATGCAATATTCCAGTTTCGCGCATACATTTAATTTGCATCTTTGGATGTAAACAAAGCTAATGACAGCAAAAGTTGCCGATTAAAATGCGAAGAACACAAATAATTCTAAAGCCAAAAGGTCAACTAGAAAACCTTCTCATTAAGATTGTGTTACTTTTTTCACATTGTTCAGGTTAAGGTGCATACAAACAATCAGAAAAACTATATGCTTGTTACTATATTTGATAGTGCATTGAAATAATCTCAGCTTTCAAATTATGATAATAATGAACTATAATAAAGTTTATAAACTAGTAAAAGTACAAAAAAAAAACCTTAACAATAACTCCAATTGGTTTGTTTCAATGGAACCTTTTCATAAAACTGTTATGAGGCATTAAACAGTTGGGACAGGACAGCAAGTTTACTGTTATTCTCACACAATTGTTTTTTCCTTTTTCTGAAAGTTTTTATACCATCATCGTGAAGTTTTTCTTTTATTATTTGAGCAAATAAGATTTTTTTTTTCAAACTTTTTTTTGTATTCTCCTTTTCACTGCGCTCTAAGTTTTTCCAATTATGATGACTTCTGCTACTGAGAAACCTGGAAATGTGAAAAGGGTCTGTTGTTTCTCTCTTTGATTTGGTCTCTGGTTAATTTCTTCTGTTCAGTCTGTCATGATCAGACATCCACACAGAGTTGCTTAACAGCAGAAACTGAAGAGTAGCTCCACTTAAAAACAACAATGACTGTTTATCACGTTTGTTACAGTAAAACAGTTTGATTTGATAAAATCTACTCTATTAAGTGCTATTTACTAGGGCTGCACAACATTGAAAAAATATAACAAAATTTTGTTATTCTCCAATTATATATTGCAATATGAATACAATTTCTCCAGATGACGTTATCATTTTAGTTAATTGTTTGGGATAATTCTGCAGGTGCATTTGCAAAAAACCTAAGAAAGATCTCTACAAGCATAAAAAAATGCAATAAAAAAAATTATATAAACTGTTATTCATTGTTTTCCTGAATACTAACAGTAGACATAATAATACTGCATAGTCTTTGTTGTATAAATAATACAATAAAATTAATTGGTATTTAATTTAAAATTGGTTCAAATTCTTATGCCTGAATGTTTTTAAATCCCTTTAACGGTCACATGCCTCAAAAATGAATGCAAATTATGAATTATAATCCAAACTCAACATTGCATATCATGCATTGTTATTGTATATTGTACAGCCCTACTATATACAACAAACAAAGGTAATGTAACTGATGTATTAAATTACATCTATGTCTATTTTCTTATTGCGAAGAAAACCAAACTACATATTTACATTCTGATCTAAACAGTGTAGGATGATGACGGGATGTTCTCTGCTCAGTTTACTGCTGCTCTGGGCATTTAAATTTTTTTCCAGAACAAAAAAAGAACTTTGCTGCGAGCACATCGGGGCCTTAAGAGCTGGTGTAAAACTTCATCCCTCATAATTCTTTCAAGAATCGAGAGAGCACAAAAGCAAACGCACTCTAGCTAACCCACATCAAAAGCCAAATCCCAGCATACCGTGAATAATGAGCTCCGAGTCTTTGTTGAGTTCATATAGACGCAAGGCCTCCTCCAGCTCCAGCTGAGAAGAAACGGTGCATGGATCCCCTGAAATGACAAGCACAGAGAACGCTCAAACACAACTCTCCACCAAAGACATCAGCATAACTGACATTGCGAAGATACAAACGAGGCGAGTGAGGGAGAATTTAAGCAGGCCTGAGAAAGAGAAAAGAAACCGAGCGCTCTGATCATATGGAGCGTAAAGAAAATATCAGTTCGATTGACATCATAAAGCCGTAACACGGCCCGTGGTGTTGTACGAAGCTGACGTCAATGCTGTTGTCTGAAGAGTAGCCTGTGGCACCAACTTCTTGCACAGACGCACACGGCTTTCAATCAAACATCACAGAGAAGGCAATGAGCGACGGCGGGCATCGCTGCCAAGGCTTGCGCAGACAGACGGGATTAACTTCTCGCCATGACGGCCCGCTCAGATCAGCTATGCTAATGAGCAGCGTGACTCTGGGCTCAGCGTGGCACGGTGAAGATTTTGGTATTTAAATGAATTTTCTTCCATCTCCATTTCCCATCTCGCATGACTAATGCAGCAGTTAATCATCGCGCGCAGACAATCTTTCCAGCATAAAACCCCGCTCCCTGCTGTGTGTTGCATTCAGATTCGCATTATTCCTCATGTAAAAGCCATCTATTTTAGTTCTGCCGGTGGAGTCCAGGGTAATTCGGAGACTTTAATGCAATCTGCCAAAAGTGGCTTCATTTGTAATATATAAAGTGCTGGTGCAAATGAGGCAGACGCTTCAGCAGAATGGCAGGAGGAAGCTTGTTGCTACGGCGACAGTTAAAGAAACAGAAGGAAAGGCCACGTTTACACCTGGCATTAACATCTGTCTCAAGGGATTTGATCAAGCGGACAGCACTAAATGCAGGTTCAAATAAAGTGCAAAAGATTTTGTGATGACTCGAATCCCATTTGTGGTTAGTTAAACACACACACTTTATTTATATCATCAATGCTGATGCATCCAGGACATACAACACAAAATTACATATTGCATAAGATACAATAACATATTAAAATATGATAATAACAAAAATTTATTATGTTTAATGTCTAAATTGAATGAACTTGTCTTGAAAGAATTCAGACATGATCTACTGGGATTTTCACACACAACCATTTCTAGGGTTTATAGAGAAGGGTCTGAAAAAGGAAAAACATCTAGTGAGCAGCTGTTCTGTGGGTGCAAATGCCTTGTTGATGCCAGAGGAGAATGGCCAGACTGGTTTAAGCTGATAGAAAGGCAACAGAACTCAAATGACCAGTCATTATAACTGAGGTATGCAGAAGAACATCTCTAAACGCACAACACGTCAAATCTGAGGCAGATGGGCTACAGCAGCAGAAGACTACACTGAGTGCCACTCCTATTAGCTACGAACAGGAAACTGAGGCTACAATTTGCACAGGCTCATCAATATAGTTTGGAAAAATGTTGCCTGCTCTGAGTTTTGATTTCTACTGCAACATTCAGATGGTAGGGTCAGAATTTGGTGTCAACAGCATGAAAGCATGTATCCATCCTGCCTTGTATCAACGATTCAGGCTGGTGGTGGGGGTGTAATGTGTGGGGGATATTTTCTTGGCACACTTTGGGCCCATTAGTACCAATCGAGCATCGTATGAACACCACAGCCTATCTGAGTATTGTTGTGTTTAATACCTAAATTGAATCAACTAGGAGCAAGCAAAATCATGTCTTGAATTAATTCTGGCACTAATATGGCCGTTCAGCATTAGTATAACATCGAAAAGTGCATTTTATTGTTAAACAGTAAAATAAACATTAAACTATTCATGAAGTGACCCTTATTCTCAAGCAACTAAGACGATAGCCTATAAAACAGCTCATTTAGAAAAATGGGTCAATTAACTGTAATAGCCAAAATTCAGTTTTAACAAGTAAAAGCTCTCTTTGGTTTAACACGCTGTGTGTAATCATGAAACGAGTGAGAGGTTCTCTTTAGTGAAACCTGATCTAAAGAAGTCACTGGAGATTTGTGTTAACCAGGAGTAAATGTCAATCTGTCTCGACTGACTGAGATCAGATCACCTGAGACAGATGCCAACACCTACTGTGAATAGAGCAAAGAGACACAAAAATGAAACAACAAACCTTCCTCATCAATCCATTTCATGGTGAAGAGCTGGTCATTGTCCATGGAGCACATATCCCGCACCTCATTGCAGAGTCCCTCATAGGAGATCGAAGGCTCAAAATGTGTGATCATGATGTCCCTAAAACAGGAAAAAAAAGTGACATTCATTAAAATCCTACATTTTAGGGCTGCACGATATTAGAAAAATCTGACAATGCAATGTTTTGTTTTTCTGTGATGTGTATATAATTTCCCCAGATGACTTTAAATACCTCGATTTGGTATGAAAGCATATACAGAATTTAATCAAATGTAAAATAGCAGTGCTTAGATTTTATTGCATAAATAAATCAATTGAATATTTTTTATTAAAGACTGGTACAATTTTCATGCCTGAATGCTTTAAACTCTCTTGTATATGCTTTAATCACAGGCCTGAAAAACACATGCAAATAAAAAACTTTTGCTTTATTATGGAATAAATCTTCAATAACTGTGGCTCATGGTAAACTATATTCACAAATTCAACATTGCAGATCCTGCAATCTGACTACTACAGATGCACATATTTCAATATCAATGTTAAAACAATATATTGTGCAGCCCTACTCTTGAAAAATTAAGGTGGGGCGAGAGGAAAAATCTCATATCACAATAAGAGTCATCTCATATCAATATATATTAGGATATGGTACATTTCTGCAATTTTAAATCAATTAATAGTTCTCTAATATATATTAGGGATGCACTGATCAATCGGCTGGAGATCAGATTTGATCGGTACTCACTTATCTGGCTGATCACATGACCCAAACTTAATGTTAGATTACAGGTTTACAAGCAGAGTAATTTACATTATAACTTATTATGCATCAAAAATGCACTTCGAACTTTTTCTTCATTGAGGCATGTTGACTTATTCTTCCATCATTTGTTTCCAAATTGCATTGTCAGTCATGGTACCCAACCCCACCCCTAAACACAACTGTCATTGGGGGATGAGTAAATTGTACTTAACTGTACCAGTGAGATTGTAAGAATTCCCACCCCATCCACTAAATCAAAAACTTCTGAATTGTCTAGAGATAGCATTGGTTATTCATGTTTCTATCTGCATCCCTGTAACAGCATGCAATATTGTGCTTATAAAAGTATGAAAAAGTACGACTGTATACAATATAATTTATTACACCAAGAAATAAACAATAAAGGGTAACATTTTTTTATTTTATGACCATTCGATATATATCTATACCATCATAATGCACAGCCCTCCTAAAAATATGATAAATAATTTTGTGTGTGATAATAAAAGAAATCTAAATACTATATTAGTACATTTTAAGACCAAAAACACAGTACATGAAGTATCAGAGATGGCGAGTTTCAAGGAAGCTGTAATACTAGCATATTCCCATAGCAGGAGGCACACAGCAGCTTCTTACTCTCTGTTGTCTACCGAGTTCACACTGTTTTGGTTAATTATTAACAGCAGGGAGTCTTTCCTGTCTACGAGCCAGTGCACTGACCCACACATGCCTGCGAGCGGCCACTGCAACCATCCCACACATCACCTTATGACGAACAAAAAAAAAAGTGCTGCTTTTATCTGATCCAGGACTATTACGATCAAGCTACTGTACGAGACATAAAAGGCAGTTATGCATGTCCTGTGACAAATATCTCTGAGATTATAATAGCTCCGCATTACTAAACTACTAGTGTTTAGTTCATATTTACAGAGAGAGACAGATTTACTCTTATCATTGCATAAACGATATAACAATATTCTGGCATATAACTGAAGGTTTTGTGCCCACTATCTTAGTAGTGAGAGATGCATCCTGTGAAAGCGCAGCATCTCTGAAAGGAAGCAGCAAAGCCACATTCCTCTGTAGGGCATACATGGATCAGTACACACTGCTTTTACAACAACAAGCATGATGAGCAAACATTCAGTCCCATGGTCAAATACGACTTACAAGAAACTCAAACACGATTTTCTGAACCTGAATTTGTAAGGAAGCTTACGGGGACTGAAGTCAAGTACTATACTAGGAATAGCACACAAGGAAATATGACCATTCCTTTAAAGCAAACAATAGGTGTATTAAAGGGAAAGTTCGCTGAAATGATGTCATCATTTAAGGTGCTTTCATACTAGTTTAGCTCATACTTTGTTAACTTCAAACAATTTATAGTTCTGATGAGCTTATAGAATGTCAGGTGACACTACGTTAAGCAAACAATGATCATTAAATGACACCACACTTTTTAAAAATAACTCTAACACATTCAAAATATGACCTTAAACTTTCCAGCATCTTTTTAAAAAAAAACACAATTCAATATATAACTTCCAAAATGGTAAATATGCATTCTGTGGCACTTTTTACCAATGCTAACATTGCAGCATTTTCGACTCTGGTATTAAACTATACCTGGCAACATCATGACTACAATTAAAAAAACAAGTGTTTGCTGCACATTAAGACTGCCAGATTTTACATTCATTTAAGTTATACTGCACCAACAGCAGTGGTGGTTCAGATGACATAATAGTTTTTGAGTCACGGATCGGACCATTTTTCGGATCAGCAAAAAAAGGAAGGAGACAAATGTCAATTGCTTTCAATTCATGCAAAAATATAAGTGCAAAAGCCACTGGTTTTAACAAACAGAACTTAGAACCTTTAATTTTCATAAAAATCTCAATTTAAAAACAACCGGCTGAAAAAAAAAGGAAAATTTTGAATACGAAAAATGATCTTTGCTACTTTTGCTGATGATGCTAAATATATAAATCTAACATATTGTACAGAAAATCATCTTTATTTTCAATTAATGATTCAACAATTCACACTTAAAGTTTCATGTTTCATTAAAGTTTTATCATTTTTGAAAACCGGATTTCAGTCTTTACCATAAACATCAGTGTCTTTATCTGAACTATAAACTCTTCTCCTGTGTTATTTAATTGCTTGTAACGAACTGAAAGTGTAAAAACTGAATCTCTCTCGGTCAAACACAGATCTGAATGCAGCACTTTACACTGAATGCATTAATTCAGGCTAAACAGTGACAGAAAACACTTTTAATTAATAACCTAAGAAAGCATTTACGTAGGTCCCACCACAACCGTAATCCATAATCATTATATTTCACAAGGAAGCCATGATGCTTTCATACATGTGATTTGAATGACACTCGAGGCAATCTGTCTGCAATTGTTATAAATGTTGGATTAACCTACAAGTTTAAAAAGTTAATAATCCGTCATTAAACATGTGCGTTCCGAACTGTGGGTTGTGATCTGTATGGATCACGAACAAACCGTGATCGGTTACACCCCTAACCAACAGGGGGACAATAAATATTTTTTTATTTTAATTTCAAATTAAAAGGAGCTGTCAAAAGGTGGAAAAAAAACATATTGACCAATCAATACAGATTTTTTACATTTTTTAAATGTCCAACCCATCTCATTGTTAGACATGACTGTCAAACAGATAACAATATTATGGAATAAACTGGCAACATCTGTATTAAAGAGAAAAATCACTTCATTTAGAAAATAAAACAGACAACAGTAACCTTACTTACAGGAGCTGCTCAATGGTTACATAGTTTTCTCTCTACGGACAAAAAGCATTGTTATTTACAATACAAACTGTGCTTTTTAAATCATATTTTCTGCGGGGGACAGATCTCAGACAGTCACTGACTCACTAAGATGTACACCTATTCCAACATAGCAACTATCGCAGTTTCTTTTAATCAAACTAAACCTAAAAAGCATTGACCTTATTCTTTGACGTGGAAGTGTGCTCGTTTTTGCGATTGTTTTAGAACTCCTGATTCATGTGAGAAGTGAGAAGAAATAATTAATGTCAGAAAAAATCAAACTACTTGCTATAAAAACAAGTGTTTGCATGACTATTCAAACCAAGTAGAATACCATAACAAAAAAATAGCAGTTTGTAACATCAAGTAGCCTAATGAGCTGTTTTTTTTTTAACTTTATTTTTATACATTAAAACATTTTACAGAACAGAACATTCAGTGACAGCAGTGATTATTAAAAGAAAAAAAAATCACAGTAGCCGCAGATGTAAATCAAAATAAATTACAAAAAAACAAAAACAAACGTACAATATTTTCAGTTTCAAAGGAGCTAGAAATTCTATGTCCTATTCAGATACAATGTAACAGGTGCCCATCTTTGTTTAAAATATCCAGTTTTAGTTGAAGTTGAGCAGTCATATACTCCATTCTATATATACATTCAAGTTTTTCTATCCACTGTACTATTGATGGAGGGTGTGGCTTCATCCAATTTATTGTTATGGTCTTTCTTTCACTGTGTAAAAGTATATGTAGTATATATCTCTGTTTTTTATTATATATATCCTGGGGTATCCCTTCAAGCAAGAAAAACAGGGGACTAAAAGGTAGATCTATCTGCAGAATTTTCATTATCTCAATCTTTACCCCTTGCCAAAATGCACGTATCTTCGGACATTCCCAAAATATATGTGCGTGATTATAATGAGCTGTTTTTAATGTCTAAAAATGAATGGAGGTAAATAAGACCTGAAGTCTCGAGTCAAAAAGATTCAAATGGCTGCAACCGCTTGTTCATGAAGAATAAGGTAAATAAATGCACTCATGCAACATGGATTTTTTGCTTTAAATGCTATTACAGTATTTAATGTTAATTACATGAACAAATAAAACTTTACAATTAAAGTGTTACTATAAACATATTAAAATTGGAATTATTAAAATTAATATTAACAATTTAGTGTTCTCACAAATTAGAGATTGGTAATGCATATGAAAAATCAAGAAAAAGTTTAAAGAAAATAATTTTAAGTGACAATCTAAACTATTGCAGACAGAGAAGGGGCCACGAGCCAAGCACATCTCTACTGTGGAAAATGTTTTAGCTTAATAGTTGCAATATAGGTCAAATCTGAAATGCTTATTACAGACATACTACATGTGACCGAGAGAACAGAAAAGGATCATGCATGAGTGATAGAAAGAGCAATAAAAGGAAGAACTAAGGCAAGAGGAGGAGAATAAAGACTGAAATTCATCTTAGCAAAGCTTCAGGGGCTTTTTAATCAGAATATAAAAGGTGCAGAGAGTAAAATATCCTTCAATTTATTCAGTGGTCTACTGCAGTGGTTCTCAAATAGTGGTACGCATACCAGGCTTCCTTCGAGTGGCACACAGACTATCGCTGACTAATTAAAGTAAAAAAATGAACACACTTTCAACCCTTTGATGCATATGATAACACTGATGTGATTAGTAAATTGATAGGCTAAACCTTTTATTTTAATTTTTATTTTATTATGTTTGTTATGTATTCTATCATCTGAAGCTAATTTTCTCCCAATATTTGTAACGCTTGTTGGGGGCGTATCCGTTTTTTTAATATCCCAATGTTGATTGGTATGATTTAATGAACTGCTTTTCTGACACACAAAGCTTACTCTAACGCGCAGTCAGCAGATCTAATTGAAAATTTAAATATGCAAATCATCTATTTCAAATATGTTTAGATTTCAAAGATAAACAAATGCATGCAACATATTTCAAAAATTAAAGATTTTGAGAAAAAGAGTTTATATACGAATATGATGACATATAGCCTATATTGATGAGGCCATAGGAACATTTCCAGGTTTTAATGAATAGGCTTTTATATGTTAATACTTTACATTTAAGTACAGCAGTTTTCTTTTAACTTTTTAAGAACAGTGCTGTTTTAATCTACTTTTAAAAGCACATTTAACTCAAACATTATTTATTTTTTTACATGTGAGCACAGTGCAGTGTAAATGTTCCAACGATTTAAAATGTTTAAAGTGGCTGACAATAATGAATACTCATAATAGAAATTAATCTGCCCGCTTTTGAACTGTGCAGAGTTGTAGCTGCTTAATTAGGCCTGCTACACTACTGTATTTTAATACTGATCATAATGGTGATACTTGGAGATAGGGCTATGCGATTAATCCAAATTGAATCGCAATCACAATTTGAAAAGTTGTGATTAGTTAAACCGCACAAGGCTGCAATATACAATATATATGTATATATGTAAACAAAAATAATAAATAACATTTTCAAAAACAGTCTGCTATGCTTCAGAAAATTACACATGCTAGACATTCTGTGATGGTGTTGTGAGGTATCGCAGACATGGTATCGTTTTTCATGAACTACGCCACATTACACAAGAAGAAAAGACTGAATCTTGTATCACGAAGTCCAGTTGTCCTCTATGGCTTCCCATGACACCCTATGTCAAGGAAATCGTGCCGAAATCATGTGATCTGACCGGGGCTTTATAACTAGCCAACTGAGTGAGCACTTTCATTCAGCTCAATCAGAAATGCACTACTGAACTTCGGCCACAATAAAAAAAGAAAACAAACAGGAAAGCACTAACAAGTGGAATTATAGCGTCTGCTTTTCCAGAAGCATTAATAGACAAATTAATAAAAATTAAAAACAGTATTTGTTATATGGGAATATTTTGGTTTCAAAGTCACAGACGCCAAACAAAAATAGGCAATTTTTAAGAGCTGTTGCAGAAATGTTTACACTGCTTTAAGACTATTGAGCTAAAACTAAAATTAAATTAAAATCAACTTGAAGCTTGTACTAAATTTTAAATCAAGTTGCAATATGTAAAATAAATAAATAAATAAATAAATCGCAACTAGATATATTCCCCAACTGGCACAGCCCTACTTGGAGAGACCATTTTTTTCTGAGGTGATACTTGCTGAAAAAAGTTTGAGAACCACTGCATTCAGGCAGAAACCTGCCATTAAGGCCTCCACACAATCCCTGATTCCCTCAATCACATCCACAGTAGAAGTTTATATGGAAAGGGGGTTGAAACTGATTCAAATACTGTCTAAAATGACCTACTGGAAAAACAACAGAAACCAGAGAAAACACACATTCAGACACAAATGGTGGGTTTCAAGATAGTCCACACCCTGAAATTCTGACCGTCTATTTTTATACGGCATAGACCATCAATTCATGCTCACTCCAGAGTTTTCAAAAGGATTTCATATCCTAAAGGATTTAACTTTATTCACTGAAACACAGATTTCCAAACTAAAAGATTGTACAGTGGCCTGTGGCATGGTAAACCTGTCGGTTCCTTACAATGATGGTAAATAAATTCTTATCAACAAATTCACCTGAAACAGAAACTGACTAGTGTCAAGACAAATGCACATATACTATAGGACTGAAGAGTAAAAAGAGCACTCAGTCTCCAACAGGTCTGACAAAAGATACTTGTCATACAAGTTTTTCAGGTGCATGACAAGAGGAAGCGTCATCTCGAAGAAATAGCTGACTAAAAATCAGTTATACATAAATGTGCTTTATTATTTACATCAAGTAAAAATATTTCATAATAACTACACCTTTTTCCAACAGGTCACTTTTCCCCCTAGTTTACACTGTTATACAGAATCTTCTAAATGTGACAGATAGTGAGTCGGCTTTGTGACAGGGAAAGCCCTAGGATGAAACAACACACCATATAAACCACTGTTATCTTAACAGTAAATCACCGTGTTTATGTGAACAACTATAGGTGAAGACGAAAGACGAGATACAGAGAGAGTAATGAAGAAACAGCTCATTTGTTATGGTTGGTTTCAGTTGACAACTTCATCAGTTTTGTTTTGAGCTTAGCTAACGTAGCTTGCTAGCTGGCTTTTCATTGGTTTCTGAAAATTTGCACCGTTGAGAATAAGTGAGAATGCAATTGTATATTTAAATGGTCTCACTGGCTACTTACCCTCTGTAGTAGGCTTTTACCCGGACTTGGTGCGGGTTTTCTCCGGGGTGGGACATGGTGCTGTCCCGCAGCGTGGGCATTATGGACTATCCGTACTCCTGCTAGCTTAGCTAATGATGCTAGCCAGCTATCGTCTGACGAGGAAAAACTACCGGAGTTTTAAAACTAAACGTATTCTTTGGACAGCAATAGTGCCGTCTCCGGTTAAATAAACAGCCTGGCTGAAATATAATTAGTGAAGTTCAGACGGAAATTAATCGGACTACTAGAAGTTCTGTCAGACGGGGAAACACTCCCTTCTTCTGTCGCGCAGGCCTCGAGACGGACTGATCCAAACAGCGGAATGTGGAGGGGGAGGATGAGAGGGGGATTTCCAGAAGAAAAATATTTTACAGTAACAGCGATTGATTGTCACACAACAACAAAAAAAACTTGTGACTGTAGTTTTAAAAAGGGTACAAATGCTAGGCATCTGCTATATTGCTGATGATAAGAGTATTATGGCAATATGGTTCAATGGCTCTAGTTGAATGGGAGAGTCTGGTAACATTCCGATTATACCACACAGAAATTGAAGAGGGTGGAGAACAGTAGGCTTTATAGGAAGTACATTGCACTGCTTTTTGTGGGTCTATGAATAATTGAATTTGGAGGGATGCGATTAATGAAGAAATTACCGCTTCTGTTTAATTCTTACCTTCTATTTCCCAGAGTGAACGCACTAAAAAATCCAGCCGCAAAAACTTCATAGCCTTTTAATACTCGGACAAGGGCAGTTTCTTAAACTGTGTACAATATTAACAGGGGCAGTTCTTAATAATAGAGGGCCCATATACCTAGATAAATAAAAATTGTCCCTGTTTTTCTTTATTAGGATATTTTTACTTTTAAACTTGTAAATCGTCACACGTTTCCACATCAGAAAAAAAGCCTTATATTTAACCAATAAAGCAAAATCTTAGCAATGTTAAATGACATCTCCTTTAACCAATAAAACTTCAAAATATTTGCCATTTGCTTTATATAGCCTAATTGGAAAACAGAAACTAAATGAGACATATCAGCACACATTATGCTCTCAAGGCACGATGGTATGAAGGACGAAACCTGCAAAAAAAAAATAAATAAATACGCCAATATATAAATAAATTAGTAAATAAATCTATAAGTCCCTGCATAAATAAAATAAATAAGTAATAAATAAATAATTAAATAAATGAATAAATGTATATTAAAATCCACAAATTCCTGCATAAATATATATTTAAATGAATAGTGCGGGTAGGTAAATTATTAAATAAATTACACAAAAGTTGAGGAATTAGGAAAATGCTAAACTGAAAATGTATTTATCCTCTTTCAAATGTTTATTCATCTATTTTCATTAGCATGTTGACTTGAGGAAAAGTAAATACAGAACTATGTTCAAGAAATGAATAAGCGTTTGAAGGGGGAAATAATCTTTTACTTTTTCCCCCAATATTTGTGTAATTTTATATACATTTATTTATTTGCATATTTATATTTTTTTTTTATAATTTATTAACATAATCATTTTTATAGGGAAAAACACTATCTATTAAGCTAACATCTATTAAGTCTCTTCTTCATTAAGTCTCTTCTGCTCACCAAACCTGCATTGACTCTAAAGTACAACAAAAACAGTCCTATTATTATTATTATTATTATTATTATTATTATTATTATTATTATTATTATTATCATCAATGTTTATTAACATTTAAATTCTTTTTTTATTTGATGTTTAAAAATATCCAAAGACCAGCATTTATCTGAGATAAAAATCTTTTGTAACATCATATTAAAACATTGAATAGCTGAAAGATAGTTTTTTTGTGTCAAAGAGTATTGTAAAATTAGTAGTTTTATTTACCAAGGATACTTTGAACAAAAGTGAGGATAAAGTCATTTATAATTTTGTACATTTTTAATTCTGGCAAATGCAGTTCTTTTGAAATTTCTAGTCATCAAAGAAAGCTGAAAAAACTCCTCCCTGTAAGTCTGTCCGCTTTGCCCACCAGGATGTAGATGTGTGTCTGATGGACTAAAATCCCACCTGAAAGAAGCAGAGGAACAGGATGCTAAAATACTTAGAAATGCAAATGAATATGGTATCAGCAAGCTATCAGAAAATAAGCAGCTGTGATCATTGTAATGTGTTTTGTCTCTGCTGTGTAGTCTGTTGTCCAGCGGAGGGTTCCGGAAACTGTGGGATGGCTTCTGAAGGTTGTCTGTCGTTTCAAGATGGCCAACCTTTCTGGCTCAAGCTCAAGCTTCTCGAAGGAGCTTCCTCCACAATCTGCAATAACAAAACAACTGAATCTACTTCTGGATCTCACTTCATACTAAAACATGCTGGATGATGGAGACAGCAGGATATTCATTATTGTTAGCCTGAAGGGACAAGCAGCTTGTTATTCATTTTAAACTCATATCTATATTTTATTATTAGCCTTTTTCACACATTTCATTTCTGAAGCCTGTAACTGCAAGAAATATAAAAGATTTCACATCGTCATAAACAAACATGCAAGTCTTTTACAAGTAAATTATCATTTTTTGGTTTAAAATAACTTCAATGACACTAAATTTCAAATTTCAAATTTCAAATTCCAAAGAACAGAGGAGAATGGCCAGACTGGTTCCAGCTGATAGAAAGGCAACAGTAACTCAAATAACCCCTCGTTACAACTGAGGTATGCAGGAGAGCATCTCTGAACACACAACACGTCTAACCTAGAGCTGGATAGGCTACAGCAGCAGAAGACCACACCGGGTGTCACTCCTGTCACCTAAGAACAGGAAACTATTTGCACAGGCCCACCAAAATTGGACAATAGAAGACTGGGAAAATGTTGCCTGGTCTCATGAATCTCGATTTCTGCTGAGGCATTCGGATGGTAGGGTCAGATTTTGCTCTCAACAAGATGAAAGCAAGGATCCATCCTGCCTTGAATCAACGGTTTAGGCTGGTGGTGGTGGTGGTGTAATGGAGTGGGGGATAATTTCTTGGCACACTTTAAACCCATTAGTACCAATTGAGCATCGTGTCTATGCCACAGCCTACCTGAATACTGTTGCTGACCATGTCCATCCCTTTATGACCACAGTGTACTAATGTTCTCCCAACTTCCGGCAGGAAAAAGCGGCATGTCATTCATTTATTCTTTTTCTTTTTGGCTTAGTCCCTTTATTAATCCATGGTCGCCACAGCGGAATGAACCGCCAACTTATCCAGCATAAGTTTTATGCAGCGGATGCCCTTCCAGTGGCAACCCATCTCAGGGAAACATTCACACACTCGTTCACACTCATACACTACAGACAATTTAGCCTATCCAATTCACCTGTACCTCATGTCTTTGGACTGTGAGGGAAACCGGAGCACCCGGTGGAAACCCACACAAACAGCCAACAACAGCCGACAAATCATTTGCAACTTTGCAGCCGACAAATCTGCAGCAACTGCTTTTTTGATGCTTTCGTGTCAATATGGACCAAAATCTCTGAGGAATATTTCCAGTACCTTGTAAATGTATGCCACGAAGAATTAAGGCAGTTTTGAAAGCAAAAGCGCGTCCAACCCGGTACTAGTAAAGTGTACAGTGAGTTTTACAAAATAATATGGGCATAACTTTGCCATGATGACAACACATAATATTTTACTACATATTTTCAAGATACTATTCAGCTTAAAGTGCCAATTAAAGGCTTAACAAGGTAAATTAGGTTAACAGGGCATGTTAAGGTAATTAGGCAAGTCATTGTATGACTGTGGATTGGTCTGTAGACAATTGAAAAAAAACATAGCTTTAGAAAACTAATAATATTGATCTTTTTTTTTGCCCAGAAGAAACAAATAAAGTAAAATAAAAGTAAATAAAGTAAAATAGTGTAAAAAAAATCCTTCTTCTAATAAACATCATTTGGGACAAATTTGAAAAAGAAAAGAAATTTACAGGAGGGCTAATCATTTTGACTTCATATTACAATGAATGCCATGTAGTGTGTGAAACAGGCTCAATCCAAGCTAACCAAAAGCTTTCGTTTGTCAAAAGCACAGAGTGACAGTGAATGAGGACTCACCTGGTGCTGCATCAGAGTTGAGTTGAGTGCAGGTGAGCAGAGATTCAGTATCTGGACTCCAGGTGCTCTAGAAGCTCAGCAGCAGCAGCAGCAGCAGCAGGGCTTCCCAAAGTACTGCTCTCCACTTCCTGTCTGAGGAACTTCTTCCTGTGCACAAGAGCATTTGTGTTGCTGTATACTGATAAATGGCTCACGAATAATCATGCAGCAGGAAGATGACTTTAGGCATCTACATCTGGAGAAATTCAGTGAGAATGTTTTAATTTCATTAGAGAGGAGTCTGATGTGTATCAAATCTATTCTAATCCAGTTCCTGGGCGAGGCAGTGGCGCAGTAGTGCTGTCGCCTCACAGCAAGAAGGTCACTGGGTCGCTGGTTAGAACCTCGGCTCAGTTGGTGTTTCTGTGTTTCTCCCTGCCTTTGTGTGGGTTTTCTTCCAGGTGCTCTGGTTTCCCCCACAGTCCAAAGACATGTGGTACAGGTGAATTGGGTAGGCTAAATTGTCCATAGTGGATGAGTGTGTGTGTGTGTGAATGTGTGTGTGGATGTTTCCCAGAGATGGGTTGCGGCTGGAAGGGCATCCGCTGCCTAAAAACTTGCTGGATAAGTTGGCGGTTCATTCCGCTGTGGCGACCCCGGATTAATAAAGGGACTAAGCTGACAAGAAAATGAATGAATGAATAATCCGAATCCGAATCCAGCTGCTTCTAACACAACAGTAAATCTGACTGCTTGACACTGAAAACTGGATTTATAAAATGTATTGCAATAATTATAAAACACTAGATGTCATTCACTTTAAACAAACTAGGTCAAATTTAAAGTCCCCCTCTATTGCACAACAATGGAACTGTTCAACTGTTGCTGTCCAACTTAATTATTTATTTTTTTAGAAATGGGCTTAATTTAATAAAATTTTACTTCACTTTATTTAATTAAATGTGTAGATTCTTCACTGGTCATTATTGCTGATCTGTATATGCCAGCTACTGGGAGAGAATGATTCAGCATTTTTATTGTTTTTACTTATGTATTTGTATTTTGAAATAATAAACCTAATTTAAATAATGAATTACTAATGCTAGCTAAAGGCCACTGTGTGGATCACTGTTACTGCAGTGGTTGCCAATAATTGAATTGACAATCAGTTTATCACAGCCTGTTATAAAGCAAATAAACATCTAGTTTATGTTTTCATACTGCCATTGTGTTGTTTTTTCTAGCTT